CCTAGGGGCATGTCCAAAAATAACCTCTGAGGCATTTTGGGCAATCAATTAATATTTCTTTTTCATTTTTCTGTTTATTCTTTCCAAAAGTTGCTGTAAATTTTCTAATATAACCTAATTTATTGTTTCTTTTAAAATTGTTTGACTTCTGTAAAGCTTTATTATTATTTTTTTTTATTTGACAACGGTCAGGGCACGAACTCATTAGGAATAATGACATACAGCATAAAGAAAAAAATAATACTTTTTAGCCAGCATTTCTAGAGGACTATATTTATATAGACTGACTTTATATGGCTTTTATCATTATATTTACCCAGTACTGTATGTGATGACAATGTGTAGTTTTATTGAATTTACCATTGTTTGTTTATAATAAGATAGTATAATACAAGTATTAAAATGCACGCTATCATGTAGCGATTCAATATGCCGGCATTAATTATGTCATCATCAGGAATTTATTCATACTGTAAGTAATATATTTTGTTTATGTTTAGTTAATAAAACAGACACTAATAAATAATAATAAAATAATAAAATAATATTTAACTGCAATACCACTGAGAATTGTAAAAGAAAGAGAATACAGAGAAAACCAATGAAGGAGAATGCACCAGAATCCCCTCAATAATACGGCAGCCAAGCTACCTGTAAACCATTTATGCACAGATCTACACTATATAGGAGTATTAGCAAAGTGAGATCATCTTTGCCCAAAAGCCCCTCAAAGAAGTTAGCTGTGATGCAGAATCTCTTTCAAGAACTCAACCCTGAGCAAAAAAGTCACCTGAAGGTTGCTTTGCCCATGGCGATAAAGAAAGCAACCAAATTGACAGAAGAGCGAAAGAAGATCATAGAAGAATTTGTAAAACGAAGTGATACGTCGTACACATGTCTTGGAAGGAAAGATCGTGTATACTGTGGTATGATTGATGGGGAAAAAAATATATAAAGAAAAACATTACTTGCTTTGGACATTAAGTGAAGTTCATCAGTTGTTAAAAGATGAACTTGCCAAAGATGATGGTGATAATGCAACCATGGGTTACGGAACATTCTTCGACATACCAAGACTATAAAGGAAGTGAAATACAAATTTGATGTTCCTCATTCATCATGCTTATGTCCAAAATGTTTTTATATTGAAGACTGCATGGTGTAGGAAGTGTACATTTTTTTATGGGGCAAGTTTCCGTGGGACACGAGAAAGCCTCAAGATATCCAGGGCTTGCCAATAACATTCCTCTGCCGTGGGGTCGCCGGCCATACCTCATGGTGCAGACATACTACCCGATGCTAGTAATAAGCATAGCACCGTTTCAACACTCTTCTGAATAAGTTCTCCTGGCGATACCAATCCCGAGGGGCAGGAATTATCAAGTCCAATTTCCCTTAATATCTTCACCTCCCTCATTCTTAATAAAGCGTAGAGCTGATCGAATTAATTGGGCATCAAGTCCTGCCTCAGATGAATTACGACAGCCACTTGCAGATGTAGATCCTGGGTGATGAAATAAACTTTGCGTGCCGTGGGGTAAGTTTGAAGGTCACCGTAAACTGTGACACCACGGACACGGGAGGGACGTCGCCCTGTGCTGGTTCCGTCCGTTCCAGGTCACCGAGAGTAGCCCAAGAGGACACCCTTAGCCACTGGCGCAGACGATCCAGATGGAAATGGGCGTCATGCTTTCGGCACTGAACTCTGAGAAGAGTGTGGTGTCCCACATGATTGTGGGAGCACCCTTCTCTTTTGCATACTCCTTCTTCCTCTCCTCTTGGCGATCCCTCTTCCCATGGATTTGAGAGGGTTGAGCAGCGACCACTCCGGTGACCTCCCCCTCACTCGTTGAAAGATGGTCTGGAGGGTACCTGCTTCAATGCGTATAGCAATAGCCGCCAAACATCGCCAGTGGATCACTGATGCTGGGTGACAGTAAACACTCCGGGCTCTTCCTCACCCATCACTGCACAAACCATTTGCATTGCCTGATAGATACAGTGATCAATTGCAAATTTGACCCCTGGCCCTCCCATTCCTCTCTCTCGGTTGAGGTGACCCTGTAGCTCCTTCACCTATGCACGCTACAGCTAGCTGCCTTAAAATTTCAAGATGTCGTTGTGCTTGGCGCCAGGAACTACGGCCCAAGGGTCTAAGAACTGGCTGTACATGTTTACCCATAATGTGCATCCTCATGTTAATGACCCTCCTAAGGTCACATCCCAGCCAAACGCAGGCATTGTCCAGAGGCAATGGTTGTTTTACTGTTCTGGGTTGAGATGGTTCAGTTGAGGATGACACTGCTGATGGCAACGGATCTGCAGACGGTAGTAATTCCAGTGGTGGCGGACGGGGCGAATCGGCGAGAAGGTTGTTCTCCTCGACCGCGCTTCCTGGGGAACAAAAGAATACATTTCCAATTAGAAACGGACATAATGCCACAAGTACTCGAAAACTAGAGCTGAACTGGAAAGCATGCATTGCTACTGTACATGGTATAATAAATGGTATAGCCTGGCTTTTTCTTCACTTTGTGTTTACTCTGGATACAATTGAGGAACAGAGTTATGATGTCTATTATGAGTCTCCTAGACCCTTCCATGGAGGGCAAAGTTTCTTGCCTTTGCCTTTGGGCGAGCTGTTATCGAGTATATACACTCTATCCCCTCGTAGATAAGGCTGCTTCAGAACACGTAGATCATCATTCTTCTTCATACGCTTCTGAGTCTCCTTGAGGGTCAATCTGGCCGTGTCATGGGTGTCCCGAATGAAACAAACCAAATC